CCCCACCCAGAGGTGGCTGCATCTCAGCGCTGGGTGAGGGGTCCCCCTGTACGCAGCCCCCGCGTCCCACCCCAGAGGTGGCCACATCTCCATCTGCCCCCCCTTCCACCCCTCCTCAGATGAGACGGCGGCCGAGCGGGAGAAGAAGGTCCTGGAGCAGGCGAAGAAGCGAGCGCTGAGCAGCTCCGTCATCCGGGAGCTGAAAGAACAGTTCTCGGAGGCGCCGGAGGAAATCCGCGAAGGGCGCTACCTGCACGCGACCAGGCAGAGCCAGGAGGATGAGCACAGGTGAGTGTGGGCTAGTGGTTAGAGCACGGGGGGGCTGGGAGCCAGGACTCCTGGGTTCTCTCCTGGCTCTGGGAGGGGAGTGGGGGGCTGGGAGCCAGGACTCCTGGGTTCTCTCCTGGCTTGGGGGGGCAGAGGGGAGCGGGACTCAGGCTCCCCGTTCCGGTTGTTGCAGGAGGCGCTACGAGGAGGCCATGCTGGTGAGGCTGAACGTGAGCCGGCAGGACAAGGCCCGGCGGCGCCGGGCGGCCGCGCTGGGGGCCCAGCTCCACTCCCTGACCCACTTCGGTGACATCAGCGCCCTGACGGGGGCAGCGCCCCCCACTGGAGAGGTGAGGCAGCACGGAGCTGGGGGGGAGGGGAGGAAGCTGGGGCTGAGCCTCCCTCAGCTAATTGTCTCCGTTCCCCTGCCAGGCTCTGAGCCCCCAGCGGAAGAGGAGGAAGAAGATGAGTGCGAAGAGGGGGAGGAAGAAGGGTGAGTGGAAGGGCAGTCCCTCCAAAGCCAGTGGCGGGGGGTTCCACAGGTGAACAGCAGCCCGAGGAGCTGCTAGACCCAGCTGGGAGTCCGGTCCGCAGGGGCCTGGCCCTGGAAGGCGGGGGGGCTGTGATGGGTTAGAGCTGGGGGGGCAGGACGCCAGGGTTCTCTCCCGGCTCTGGGAGGAGAGTGGGGGCTGGGATCTGTCACTCGGCTGCTTGCTGTCCTTCTGCACTCCCTTATTCACTTTCTTTTGTAGGTTTCCAGAGGCGATAGCGGAGCGACGCGCCACCCCCCCCCCCCCCCCCGGGCGACGCCCCCCACCCCCCCCCCCCAGCAACTCTCACACGTGGACAGAATGTTTAGACAATAAAATCGAGCCCCTGAACATGTCTCTTGTCCAAGTGTCCACTGGGGGGGCTGCGCCCTGGGGCCCGTTGCCGGGCTGCGCCCTGGGGCCCGTTGCCCGGCCGGTCCCTAGGGGGCACCGTGCCCCGGGGCCCGTTGCCCGGCCGGTCACTAGGGGGCACCATGCTGCTGGGGCCCGTCCCCCGGCCACGAGGGGGCGCTGCGCTGCAGCATTGCCTGCTCAGCTTAGGCTAAGGGTCCCCCCACAGGAGCTGACAGACGCTGAGTCCCCATCCTATCCCATTGCTCGGCCAGGGGGCAACCAGAGCCCAGCATGACCCTTAACATCCCCCCCATAGCCCCCAGCTCTTTGCCAGCCCCCTCCGTAACTGGGTTGAATTTACGGGGGGGGGCAGCTGTCCATGTTCTCCCCACAGGGGATCAAACGGGGGCGGATCCCACAGCTGCAGCTTTCCTCTGTTTCCGCCCTCGGGACTGGGGCCAAGCCGGGCGCGTGCTGGCGTGTGACTGGGGGTCACGCTGCAGTGAGCCACTGAGGCCAATGGAGCAGGGAGCTGCTCGGCCATGGGCCGGCCCTACGGCGCTCTGGTGTTAGAGCCCTGTTCTGTGACCATGGGATCCTTAGATGGGCTGCAGCTGGGGGGAGGGGGTGCTGTGCTACAGAGGGGGCAGGTCCGTGCCCACTCTCCCCCCAGTGCTACGGGGCACTGTGCCCAATCCCCGCCCCAGCACTAGGGGGCGCCGTGCTGCGGAGGGGGCCAGTCCATGCCCAATCTCCACCCAGCGCTAGGGGGCCGGTCCGTGCCCAATCTCCCCCCCCCCGGCGCTAGGGGGCCCCATTTCGCCCTCCGGCCCCCCCCACCAGTTCCATGACTTTGGAGGGGCCCCGTGTGGCCAGCGTCTCAGGCTCGGAAGCGTTGTCATGGGGGGGCGGCTGCGGGTTCCCGGCCAGGACCCCCGCCCGGAGTAGCTCCTGGTAGTGCCGGGGGCGATGCCGCTGGAGGTAGATGCTCATCTTGCCCGGCACACGGGTGGCACCGTCCCGCCCTGGGAGGGGAGAGAAGCCCTGGTCAGTGGGGGCGTCCCTGCCCCCCAACCCCCGCTCTGGTGTCCCCGGCGCTGCTCACCCAGTGCCCGCCGGAGCTGCAGCACCTCCTCCAGCGCCGCCGGCACGTCCTCCTGGGCCCCCACCAGGGCCTCCACCTCGGCCACGGCGTAGCCGAAATCCGCCTGGTCCAGGTCCACCCGCAGGCCCCCCAGCCGGTAGCTGCGGCGCCGGGTCACGAAGCTGGCAAACTCCTGCAGGCCCAGCCCAGCCACGGCCCTGGGCACCTGGTCCCAGCCAGGCACTGGGGCCACGCCCAGCACCCCGCATAGCCGGCCCACGATGGCGCGGGGGCTCGTCAGCTCCTGGTAGGTGGTGGCCACGGCGGGAGGCTCCGGGGACGCGGCATCTGGGACGTGGCTGGAGTCTCTGGTGCCCTCTGCTGGCGGCTCCGGGGACAGGGCAGCTGGGAGGAGGCTGGACCCTCCGGCGCCCTCTGCTGGTGGCTCCGGGCACAGAGCATTTAGGGTGTGGCAGGACCCTCCGGTGCCCTCTGCTGGC